CGTTGGTGACCGTCCCCTCGCCCGGGCCCTCATTCCCTGCAGAGGCAGAGACGAATATGCCTCGCTGCATGGCTCCAAAGGCCCCGATAGCAATTGGGTCGATCTTGTACGGCACCTGCCCGGAGTCGAGGGATATGGAGATTATGTGGACTCCATCCGAGACGGCCTTGTCGATGGCGGCAAGGATGTCGGAAGCCATGCACCCGTTTTCCCAGAAGACTATAGACGGCGATGCGCGCTCTCGGGGCGACCCCGGACGCAACGCCGGTGGCGTGGCCGAAAAAGGTGGCGTTGGGGACGGCTCTGCCCGCGGCGATGGATGCGGTGTGGGTGCCGTGTCCTATGGAGTCTCTTGGGGACTTGAATTCCTTGAGTTGGCCGTTTGCGTTTGCTGCATAACCGTTGGAGAAGAACCTTGCGCCAATGATTTTGTTGTTGCAGTTGGCTCTTGTGAAGTTCTCACCTTCCTCACACTCCCCTCTCCAGATGTCGGGAGAGATGGGGTCGAGACCTTGGTCGTGGAAGCTTCAGTGTTCGGGCCAGATGCCGGTGTCCAAAACGCCGATGATCACGTTCGAGCCCAACTCGGACTCCGACAGCAGCCCGTCATTGGCGGAGGAGGACTGAATGCCCAGGAAAGTAGGAGAGCGAGTGGTGTGGAGTTGGTGAAGGCGGTCGGGCACAACGGATATGATCCCCGGCTGCCGTGAAAGCTGTGCGGCTTCTTGCCTCGTCAGTCTAGCTGAGAAGCCATGGAACACTTTATCATAAACGTGAACAAACTTCTCCTCGACCTCGTCATGCTTGTAATTTCGTCCTTTGAGGCTGGCTCTGTACCAATCTCGTGCGTGTGCAAAACCTGATGGCTTCATGCCCGGTCGCACCCTCACAATGTACGTTGTCGTCGTCCGACTCTCGTCCACCTCCTCCTCCTTTAGGTTTGAACACAGGACATGAGGAATCAAGAGCAACACACACAAAACCAACAAGAAGACACCAGACTTAGCCTTCAGAATACTACCCATTAATTCTGTGTTTCTGTATATTTTTGTCAAATTATTTACTTTACTGCTTGAGATAGAATATGTATGATATGATGATCATCTTCGTCTCATATATCTATATAGAGAGAGAGAGAGCAGCAGCAGAAAATAAAATTATCTACTTTTGATGATTTTTGTATAACTAAATAGCAAAAATGGATATTGTAGTATTGTGTGTTGTACTATACACTATTTTATACTTACTAAATAAAATATTGTTTTTAACATTTCAAGTTGACAAATTCATTGTAGATGTTTATCATTTGTTGATTTTAAAAGTGAGGCGACACGTATAGTAATAGGACAATTTATTTGTGGAGGCATTACTTATTTTCTTTAAGCCTATATTTGTATGCTTTTATAAATTATTGGCTTTTATAAATTTGTAAACTTTAATATTAATACATTTTATCATAAAAGTTATGAGTCATCCCCTCCCCTGTATATAATTCCCGAATACGCTTAGCCTACGTGGTTGTTTCTGCTGCTTCGGAATCCTACTTGGCGAAGAATCATGCTTCGTAATTAGGTTTGGACAAATAATATTGATATATTAATAATTAATATTCTAGGTTCGGACATTTCATAAATATTATTTAGATAACTTAGGTATTTTAATATCACTTGTACTAATATAACTTTTTAATTCTTTGTAATTTACACAGTTATATATTCCTGACTTTTGATTTGCTTCCTTCAATAAGCTATTGAATTGTAAATGTATTTTAAAAGTCGATAACTTTTGTATTTCTTATCGGTTTATTGAATTGTAAATGTATTTTAAAAGTCGATAACTTTTGTATTTCTTATCGGTTTTACATATATGATATATCAAATTAATCATCTTTTGATAATCTTCGATTTCACATCCATATTGTATATATGAAATAAATAAATTATATTTATTTTTATAATAATAAGAAATAATAATATTAATTAAAATTCATTAGAAAATAAAATTATTTCTCAATTGGTATATTTATGTTTAATATAGTTATATGTTGTAAGTTAAAAAATTATTATATTATAACACAGGTAAGTCCACAAATAAAAAATGTCAATACTAAATATATAATAATATATATATATATATTTATAAAAAAAGTATTTAAATTTCCAACCACATTTTTCTCAATAATTTTAGATTGTAAGAAAAAAAAAAGTTAGCAAACACCCGTGTACTAGTAAATATATTAAATATGTATACTTCCTTTTTTTTGTTTTGTAATCAAATATTTCTTAATTCAACACCTAAATATATTAAATATTTCATAATTCAACACCCTGTCACAAAAGTGTTTATTAGTAACTAAATATAACAAAAACAATAAGCAACCAGTAGATCAAGTCATTTCTATCATTAAAGAAACCCAAAAGCATGGACCAACTAAAAAGTGGCACACCACTCTGTCACTTTTGTTTATGCTTTCTGCATTTGCAACTATTTGCTTGAACTTGATGGATACACACACGGCTTTGCATGAATTTTGCCTCAAAAAACAGATCCACCTGAGAAGGCAACTTTCTTATTCAGAGACAGAGAAGCATAAAACACGACTTTCGAAACAGAAAAGGAAAACCGTCAACAGCACCTGTGAGTGATTCGGACCAGATGAACCAGGATACGAAGAAATCCAGATGGTGAATACCCTTGTAAAGGGCAGCCTTGGGGGACCCACAGGGAAGGTGGGTGGGGGTGGGAACACGACCAGCTGATGTTTGATAACCCCCCATTAGTTGTCCAAATAATAATAAGACCCAGCAGTTTTCTGCTCTCGGTCCTTAGTCGACTCCAGTTTGTTAATCCGTGGACGGTAGTTTGTGGGATCCCGTCTGAACGTAATATCCAGATGCTACATGCACAAAGGAAAATACATCAGTAATGATGTCCCATAAATAATCAGACCTTGTGACAGCCAGAAATGAAAAAATCGATTAAAAAAAAGAACAAAAACCAGGTGAGTAGGCTTACGGATAGAAACAGGTTCATCCCGGTCAAAAGTGACTGTGGCGAATTGGCCTTGCAATCTATGGACGGCTTCCCCTCATACACAATCACTCGATCTGCTAGGTAAGTGGCCATTATGAAATCATGCTCGACAACAAATGCAGTCTTTTTTGCGTGGAGTATGAACCTCTTTATGACTTTCGAAGCCACTATACGCTGCTCTGAGTCTAGATACGCACTTGGTTCGTCTATTAAATATATATCTGCAGGCTGCAAGCAAAATAAATAAAAATAAGCAAAACGAATTTTTTCAAGCATGAAAATTAACAGAAACTATGGAGAATCTTTGAAGATTCTGGAATGCAAGGTGACATCCAAAATATAATAAGCTGATTCAGAATAAACCTACTCAACAACAATGTCATTAACGAATATACTAATACAGCGTATATGAAGAAAGAGCAAACCTTTCCAAGGCAAAGGGCGAGAGCAACTCTCTGTAATTCTCCACCAGAAAGATTCACAACCTCTCGGTCCATTAGTTCCTCGATCAACAGTGGTTTCATAACATCCGACACAAACTGAGGATGCACATACGAGTCCCGAATTTTCTGGTGTAATAGAATTCTAACAGTCGACTGAAATGTGGGGGTGATTTTTTGTGGCTTGTAAGAGATATTAAACTCAGGTATGCCCACATCTGATCCGTCGACCGAATCAGGTTTCAGAAGACCGGCCTACGCATTCAAAAAGACAGCAAGTTTAAAATTAATTAACAACACTGAATACACACTTCAATGAAGACGAACAGTAGAAAATACCAGCATCCGTATAAAAGTGGTTTTTCCAGTCCCATTTTCACCAAGCATCACAACAATTTGTGAATCGGTAAATTCACCCTCCATGACCTTGAGCTTGAAATTTCCCTGAGTTCTGGTCATGGCTGGGTACCTGTATCTTGCATACGTCTCAGTTTCCTCAGCACATTCCTGTGGAGTCTCGGCAACCTGAAAAATGAGGAAAACTACATTAGTAGCAATTTTCACCTCAATAACCACTAATAAAGATAAGAAAAAGGAAAGAAAAAGAGAACTTTAAGCAGTGACTTAAACTGGGTTTTGTACCTTGAATGTAAGGGATTCATTCCGAAACCTGAGATTCTCGGTAGGGACAAATCCAGCCAGGAAAATGTTAATTCCTTCCCTGACTGAAAATGGGAGCGTTACCACCCCGTATACACCAGGTTGCCCATAAAGGCAGCAGATGAAGTCCGATAAGTAATCAAGCACAGTAAGATCGTGCTCCACAACAATTACATAGCTGGAAAGGGGAACAAAAAATTGGGTTAAAAAAAAATCATGCAAAGCCCCATATAGAGAAAGATAAAATGTATATGCCAATTTTAGTTGACATGGAAATGTTGAAAACCTGCTGGGCTTAAGTAAGGATCTGATGACTTGCGCAGCTTTGAGCCTCTGTTTCACGTCAAGGTAACTTGAGGGCTCATCAAACATATAGATATCCGCATCGTGTAGAGCGGCAAAAGCTATGGAGAATCTTTGTAGCTCGCCACCAGATAAATCTTCCACATTGCGGTCCATGACCCGATTAAGCTCGAGATCAACACCAAGTTCTTCTATCAAGTGCCTCTCATTTGCCTGAGCAAGGACTTGACCAACATTGCCTTGGGCATTTTTATGGATATTGTCCACGTACTGGGGCTTGATGATTGCCTGGAAATAAATGCAAATGAAAATTATATCAGAATAATGAATAGAAACATGCCGGATGGCGAAATTTGTACATAAACTCTGAAGGAAAATTATACAGAGCTGCATCACAACCATTTTCACACGACCTGTTCTAAATGGTCTTTCAAGTTTTAAAAATTTAATATAAAAATCTATACACCATGTAGTAAAACTGTTTAAATTATAATTGTATCCAACTCAATTCAGTATTACAAGATCTTAAACTCATCAAATTGTTCTTAAGGGGAAAATTTTTGAAGATTACATCATCTCTATCCCGTAGTGAGATCAGAAAGAGAAATCCATTCCCCAAAATCATTAACCACACACTAAATCAGTAAATATGGATTGGATGCTCAATGAGAAAACAACTGAACTGACAACAATGAATACACTTTACTAATTTACTTACACGACCTATTTTGCATATAGTTTTGTATTACATTCACTATCACATGAGACGCTATTTCATTCATCTATATTTCAAAATACACAACTAAATTTAGGGCCAGTTACATGAGATGTCATTTAATTTACATGAGATGTTATTCAATCATGGCATATTCAGAAACCATCTATTGAATTTACGGCCTATATATTTCAACCCATGCCATTAATGGAGATCCACATTTAGCAACATGATCTATCAAATTTACCTTCAAATTATCTTCAAGAACACGGGTAAAGTAGTTTTGCAGCTCGGATCCTCGAAAATAGGTCAATATTTCCTGCCAATCAGGTGGATCCTACAAAGAGAAGTTCATTCAGGAAAAAGTCGAGCAAAAGGATCAACCTCAGAAAAAACTAAAAAGATGGCTAGATGAGATTACAATAAAACGTCCCAAGTTCGGTTTCAATTTCCCAGCCAAAACTTTAAGCGCAGTTGATTTCCCTATGCCGTTAGTCCCAACCAAGCCAAGAACTTGCCCAGGCCTTGGAACAGGTAGCCTATCAAAAATGCAAACGAGTTAAGAAAGCAAATAGCCAGAATATCTGATTGACATGGACCATGACTGAAACCAACCTATGCAGTTTGAAGGTGTTAGGACCATAACGATGAGTGGTATCCTTATCCAAGTCCTTTGGTAGATTAATAATCTGGATGGCTTCAAACGGGCATTTCTAGAAGAACACGTAGAACAACGATGAGTCGGAAAAATGCCATAAATCAACGCTCTGCTAAAAAGTATTAACGACTCTATATCTACCAAATCGAACAAACCTTCACACATATACCACATCCAATACACAATTCCTCTGAGATGAAAGCAACCTTGTTTGCAGAAGTCACCTCAATGCAAAACTTACCTAGAAATACAGTAATATACAACAATTTAAATAAGACATCCTAGTTCGCTATGGCAGAAATTAAATCAAAAATCAGTAATAAGAGCATTATCCTCAATCAATGTACCAATCTTTGAATAACAACAAAGGAACAACTAGGCTGCACATACGATAGTTACATATTAAAGTTTTCCAAGCGAAAAAAAAAAAATCATCCCGATTAGCAGAGGAGGCTGCTGGCAGCAAGATCTTTTAAGAGAAAACTAAGAATCTATTATAGATCTAGCCCATCGACAATATTAATCAAAATTATATCACTGAGACGAGTTAATTCACTCAAATTTTGTCCCAAAAGCTTTGCAACGTGTTTGAATTTAACCAAATACAGCCATGGATTTCTCAATTTATACAAAATTACCAGAGAAAAATCAGTCGAACATGCCATCATCAATATTAATCAAAATTATATCACTGAGACAAGTTAATTCACTCAAATTTTGTCCCAAGAGCTTTGGGACGCGTTTGATTTTAATCAAATACAGCCATGGATTTCTTAATTTATACAAAATTACCAGAGAAAAATCAGTCGAACATGCCATCATCAATATTAATCAAAATTATATCACTGAGACAAGTTAATTCACTCAAATTTTGTCCCAAGAGCTTTGGGACGCGTTTGATTTTAACCAAATACAGCCATGGATTTCTCAATTTATACAAAATTACCAGAGCAAAATCAGTCGAACATGCCATCATCAATATTAATCAAAATTATATCACTGAGACAAGTTAATTCACTCAAATTTTGTCCCAAGAGCTTTGGGACGCGTTTGATTTTAACCAAAAACAGCCATAGATTTCTCAAGTTATACAAAATTACCAGAGCAAAATCAGTCGAACACGCCTAGTATACATGCATGCAAATCAAAACAGGGCGAAGAAACGGAGTTGAACAAACAGAAAACAACAATATAGTTCCCGGAGCGGGTCTAAAGCACGGTCGCCATATCTAAGTGAAGGTGAAACTATACCAGTTTTGACGACGGGGCAACTCTTTTTACACTGCTGGCGACACTTTTTGGGCTTGCACTTGTCGGAATTCACAATTGCGATACGCGTCAACCTCTGATCGGCCATCTCTGTCGATTCTACTGTTTACCACGACAAGAGAGTTTCAAAGGAAAATCAAAACCCTAATTCTGGATTGATTTGCGAAACAAATAGAGATTATTTATACGACGAGAAGATACGCGGCACGTATTGGTGGCGAGAGGACAGAGCCCAGGATATATAGAAAGAGAGAGAGAGAGAGTGTGTGTCGTGTAAATAATTTAGTTTTTTTTTTTTTCAAAGTGTAAATAATTTAGTTACTATAGTAATGAAAAGGGTAGAATAGAAAATTGAATTTTTTTTTTTTTAATTTTTTTGGCAAACAATAGAATTTATCACAACAAACACAATAAAATACAAGCGAACTTACAACAAATAGCCGGAGCCATGGGAGCATCACATAAATGTGGGCTAGAATAGGTGATAGGGATTAGGGATAACACCACTTAAACCAACCGGACAAAGACCCGTAAGGCTCGACCGGCCCAAGGGCCAACCAAAGACACTGGGTCGAGTGGGGCTCGACCGACTCAATGGTCGAACAAAAATATGGGGTCGAGCGGGAGGGTCAAACTGGGTTTGAGGGTCGAATGCGGGGAGAGGGTCGAATATGGACCCTCGGATCGACCGAAGGCCGATGTGGCGTCCGACTAGCCCAAAGGGTCGAAGGGCTCGACCCTTGTGCTGGACCGAATAGATAGAGCTAAAAGTCGAAGGGCCCGATATGGGAGTCGAGTCACCATGGGGGTCGAGGGTCTCACACAAGACCGTGTATTAGTTAAGTTGAGACCAGTCAACGAACGTTCTAGAACGAATAAGCCCGAAAGATGGAATCGCACAAGAGAGACTATATAAAGAGGTAATCTCAATAATGGTAGGTAATACTTCATTAATATCATTACTACTACATTTATTACACAATTTTCTCTCTAAAAATCCGAGATCCTAACTTGGGCGTCGGAGGGTCTTGCGCCGGAGTAATTCCGGCGCGCTTTCAGGTACCGACGAACACTCAAGCTCGGACCGGACCGAATCAATCGAACCAACGTCATAACCGGGAAGAACCTTCCGCAAGACCGGAGTCACCGATCTCGGACCATATCAATAGGAATCCGCAACAGACAAGAAAACATCAAAACTCACCAACACAAAGAGGCAAAGCAGTTACACTCAACCGAACATTTGCCTCTTTGCTTAACAACAACCTAATACAATATACAAACAACCATGCCATACAAACTAAAGTAAAAGATACAACAAGACATGTCACCTTTTACTAGGGGATAAAGTGTTCTACTGTTGGACTGCTACTTTGACTATTAGTGAGGCCGGTTTTTTTTATTTTTCAAATACACATAGGTTACGAGACTTACAGAGCCACTATAGAATATACGTTGATAGTTGAATTGGTGCTTTAAATGTCTCACTTTTATTCAACTAGAAGATTTGCCACCATCAAGCTTTGAATGACTTTTTGTCTTGTAAACCATCCCATTTGAACGGAGGTATCTTCCAAATATCCTTGCTATTATTTGTCACTTGGCAATTAGTTTCCTAAGGTTGGTAGATCTAGTAATTTTGAACTTTATTTAATTATATTTAAATTTAACAGTGGAAAAAATTTAGAATAATTTGTTTTACTTTATGAAAATCTTCTTTATATTGATATAAAATATGCTAATGCAAAACACCGGTTTTCGTTAGATTGATATAAAATATGCTAATGCAAAACACCAGTATACTACACGGACACTGATTAAAAAAATATAATTAAATTTATAGACCGAAAAAGAGAGAGAAAGAATTTTTATTAATTTTTAAAATAATTTTTTAAAATTTGAATTATTATTATTTCATTCAATTTTTTATAATTTTAAAAGTTGTAGCATGTATAGATATAAGGACAGATCTACATGGACTTCTCCGAACCACAAAAAATTGACCCATAAGGTTACGAAATGCCAAAATTTTACACATAGGATTACAGAGCACAAAAAGTTGATACACATGTGACTAATACAACTTCAGTGAACTACACATGTGTTCGATAAAAAAATTAATTATCCAACAAGAATTAAATATATATATATATATATTCATATTGTGAAATAAAAAATATAAATCCACCCTATATATTATTCCCTAATGCGCTGAGCCTACGTGGCTGCTTCTGGTGCTTCGGAATCCTAATTGGCAAAGAATCATGCTTCGTAATTAGGTTTGGACATATAATATTGATATATTAATAATTAATAATTAATAATTTGGGTTTGGACATTTATTATAATATAATTTAGGTTTTTAATAATTGATATATAATTTAAGTTAAAAATATTGATATATAATTTAGGTTTTTAATAATTGATATATTTAAGTTAAAAATTTATTACTCCCTCCTATTTTTTTTAAATGTCATTCTAGCTTTATCAACTATTTACTAAATAAATGTCATTTTGGATCTTTTGTACATATTTTTCCATTATTACCCTCATTTTGCTAATAAATACATCACGTATCTATACTTATATTAAAAATCATACTATTTACCAAAAATAGTAGCAAGAAAAGTCAACTCACATTTAATGCATACTTTATTTAGAAATTTTTTACTATATGCATTAATTGCTTGCATATATACATTTTCTATTCAAATATGATCAAAAAGATTATTTTTTTAAATATTTTTTTTTAACTTCTGTAATGATTTTACTGATATATATTATAATTCATATTTGTCGATGGTATTTTTTAATTTTTATTTGAGTATATAAAAAACAAATATTTTTTTTTTAAATTAATATTTTTTTTATCATTTAAGAGGTAATGATCACATCATTAAATGATATTACTGATGGCTAGATAATAAATTAAAATACATTAATTATTCTTTAAAATGTTGGCATGTTCTTTAGTTGTATCTATATTTATTATATAAGGTATCCTATTAACCAAATTTAGTAGATTAAAAAGTCAACGTAATTAATGCATTGCTATTTCTATCCATAATTTTATTTAATTATTTTATTTATTTGTCTTATCCCATAAAATCAGTTTAAGAAAAAAAATCTCATAACATCTGACAAGTAAAAAAAAAAGACGTAAAATATTTACTAAAAAAAAAGACTTTATTTATTTGTCTTATTACATATTAACATTGATTTTGTCAAAATAAATCTCATATAAATAAGTGAAGTCAAAATTTGTACGTAAAGTCTATCTATCAAAAAAAAAAAGTCAAATTCAAAATTCATTATCTAATTTCCTCTTTTTTCTTATCTAATTCCTTATTTTCCTTATCTAATTTTTATTATTATCTAATTGTATGAAAATCTGTTCTGATTTTGTTCAATCCTCTAATTGTATTTGTATTATATTCCATAAAATCGGTTTAACAAAAAAAATCTCATAACATCCGTTAAGTAGAAAAACAAAATACATAAAATATTTACTAAAATAAAAAGGCTTTATTTATTATCTAATTGTATGGAAATTTGTTCTGATTTTATGGTACGTACTACAAATTGTGCACTCGTGTTCAGGAGCTACTTAACGGGCAAGCTCTGTGGAAATGACTCATTTAGTGCTTCTGTCACGTGCATACAGTATATATTTTTATTACACATACTAGAAAATTGTGCACCCTGTGCATCGCACGGGCTCTGTACTAATAAATGACCTTAAAATTGTACACCTCGTGCATCACCCGTGTTCACATTTTGGCCTATTACATGTCACGTACTATATATATCCCGTACATTTTTTTTATTCATTTATATAATTATAAGAATGGATAAATTATCTTAAAATTATGCACCCCGTGCATCGCACGGGCTCTGTACTAGTTTTCATAATCACTCTTCATCTTTTTCTCAAAATTCATCTCTATCTTCATTAAATAAGGTTATTATTGACAAAAAAAATATTCTTAATAGATGTGCAACATCCTAAAACGACATCTATTTAAAATAGGAGGTAGTATAATATAACACATATAAGTTGCACAAATAAAAAGTGTCATACTAAATATATAATAATGTATATATTTTTATAAAAGGTATTTAAATTTTCAACTACTCTTTTTTATTAATTTTAGATTTTAAGAAAAAAATTTAGCAAGCACCCGTGTAATACACGGGCGTTGTACTAGTAAATATGTAAATGTAAGAACTTGTAGCGTAATTTCGAATTCTAGAAAAAAAAATTGAAATCTCATTTATTTTTATTTAAGATATATTCATGTTTGTCCAAATTAAATAGAATATTTAGTTTATTCAATAGTTAATATAACACATGTGAAAAATACGGAGGCATGACAAAAATATTTGTATCACAAGTTAGAAGTAAAGATATTTATATTGTTATAATAAAAAGATAACAAAAAATTAAGTATAAAACTAATAATTAAAAATTAACCAAGATAGGTATTAAGACACCCGTGTTTTACACTGATTTATCAAATGATATTTTATTTAATCACACACACATATATACAACTCAACAGTTCTATTTTGAAATAATATAATTTTTTTTTTCAAGTTTGAATATTGTATTTATATTTTCTTACGGCATTTGTTTTTTTCTTTTCTTTTTCAAATCTCCTCGACTTTATAATATTTAATAATTTAAAATATAATTTGAATGAGTGTAATATTTTTAAACTTCAGAAAATATAATAACTATTTATTATATTAAATTATAATATTTATTTATTTATTTCAATATCATTATATAGTAATAGATTATTGGCATTGGGGAGTGTAGCCGGAAATAAACAAATGAGAGACTGGGTTTGAAGTTTGAGGATTTATTGGAAAAAAGCACTATAATTATATCCCCTCCCCTAATCCCTATATATTAATCCAGAACGCGTTGAGCTTACATGGTTGTTTCTAATTCTTCGAAATCCTATGTAGTAAAATTACATGTTTCGTTATTAGGCTTGGGTAAATTTTAATTTAATTCCAAATCAAAAATAATTAGGTTCGAATTACCATAACTATGTTGATTATTTATGGTCATGTTACATGTATTAATTGTATTTTAATATCATTCCTTATTATAACTATTGAATTGTATATGTATTTTAAAAACTAATAATTTTTGTATTTTTTATCAGTTTTACATATGTAATATATCAAATTAATTTTCTTTTGATGAGTTTCGATTTAACATTCATATTGTATGTATAAAGATAATAATTTATGTTTATCTTTATAATAATAATAAAATTATTTTTAATATTAATTAGAAAAATAAAATTATTTATCAACTAATATATTTATATTTCAAGTAGTTATATGATATAAGTTAGAAAAACTAATATAATATAACACATGTAAGTCATAAGTAACAAATATCATTCTAAAATATATAGTAATACATTTTTTTTTTGGTAAAAAAGTAAACTAAATTTAATATAATTTTCTCATTAATTTTAAAATTTAAAAATAATTTTTAAACAAACACCCGTGTAATACACAGGTGTTGTACTAGTTAACTTTACATAATTATTATTACCTTTATTTTATAATTATTGTAGATTTCATGTATAAAGATAAAAATTGTTCTTATTATATTATGAAAAGAAATATATATCAGCCTATACATCGCCTAGATCAACTAACTTCTCAACCGCCTGGGCTAGGCGGCGTCTAATTACCCGAGCGCCTAGAAGGGCCGCCTAGCAAGAATCGGTACACCCTGGTATCACCTAGGCGGGCGCGTAAACCGACTTTTAGTAGTGGAACAAGTAGTAAAACACCAGTATCAATCAGTGTTTACAAACTTATAATTCATAACACAACAATATGATCTTCCATCTCCAGCTCCTATATACATAACTAACTGCGGTGCATGACAGAAAGTCAGGGAAAGTGACCGCCTATCACTCACCACTTATGGCTTGGGTTCATTAAAAAGTTCTGAAAAAAAAAAACAACACATAGCATACACAACTGCTTGCTTTGATTTTATAAAGATTCAAGGTCAGCAATCACATCATAAAGGATCACTTCCACTTCTTGAATTTGCCACCATGCATCCCAAATCCATGCTTTCCTCCCTTGTGTTTGCCGTGCTTGCCAAACTTGCCATGCTTGAACTTCCCGTGCTTGCCCTTGCCGTGATGGCCCATGCCCGGCATGCCATGACCATGTGCATAACCACCGCCATGATGCCCACTGCCATGCATCAGATGTGAAGCGCCATAAGCAGCGGCCGCAGCTGCAGCACCTCCCGCTATCATCCCTCCAATGGACCCACCTGAAAAAGGCAAACTTATTAGTCAGAGACACACAAACAGAATAATCATGTCATCCAAGTAAAACGCACATTACAAAGCCACAGTTATGTAGCGGATGTGTACACACATACCCAGCTACCTAAAACTACAAATAGCCAATAAAATATAATGTGTACCAAAATACAACATTTCGGATGTAAGTAACAGAGTGATACTACCATGGTTCCGGAAACTAAATGAAACAGGGCACAAGCTGAAAGCAAACAGCTCAGTCAAGTGTTTACCCCTCATCAGTTGTCGCCACAAAATACACCTAGAAACAGCCTTCAAAAGAATCATCAGCCAACTATGTATAATAATACCCATTTCTCATACTCTTCCTGTACTTCCATTTTTTAGAAACTAACGACGTTTTGTCCTCAAGTTCAATTTTTCCTCAAAACACAGCACATATCAAGTCTCAATGATATAAGTACATACTAGATCACTCCATAATAACAAACCATATGAGTGGGAAGGGGAAAAGAAAAAAAAAAGAACAAAATAAGGAACAGCACCTGGGTGATGGGGTCCATGTGGACCAGCTGAACCGGCAGGGGGGTAGCCAGCAGGCGGGTACCCTCCTTGCGGAGGATATCCCGATGGCGGGTACCCTCCTTGCGGAGGATAACCTGATGGTGGGTAGCCTTGAGGAGGGTAGCCTCCGGGGGCAGGCGGGTAATGACCCCCGAGATGAGAGAAAAGCCCCTTGTCAGATTCGTCGTGCTTGTCCTTTCCACCTCCCATTTTTTCTCAGGACCTCAGTAAATAATAAAATCCTGTATGACCGTCACAAAACCACAAGATGAGCCAGTATAAGAATATCAAAAAGTATTAGAGAAGATCGTGTTCTCATCTCTTTGTAGTTGTTGCATGGAATCAATAAAAGGCTTGCAAATTACGCAGCTTCCGAACATGTAAAGATCACATAATCAAGCAGATGCATAAGATCAAGCCAATCTTAAAAAGTACTTATTTTTCTCACAGACCAGAAAGTAAGAACCAAAAAACACAACACTGTCAAGACAATTTACGATCTTTTCCTCACAGATATGCCTTTGCCAATACATGGATATATAGGATCAAAGCCGGCAAAACCGATCGAAGTCTATGAAATCACAAAAAAGTTCCTCAATTCACCAGCGAAATTAAAGTAAAAAATAGAGATCTGATTCGATGATTATGTTACGAACACAAGGGATTACTTCACATCACAACAAATCCACGCCAGAAGAGTTGAAAATTCCAAAGCCCCATCATCACAATTAAACGAAGATCAGAAAATTCCCGATCTTGAATGCAAATCGTATATTCAAACGGTACATGCTTACACGGAATCAGCCAAGAAAGTGTCGCAAAAATACTACTATAAATGTAGTACAGAGTGTCTGTAGGTGCGCGCAGATAAAAGAGGGAGAAGGAGAGAAGAGATGGGATCACCTTGAAAATCGCTTGCTTGGTTTGGTAGAATTGAATGTGAGAAAGAGTGGATATGCTTGAAATCCTGATGAATGCTTTTGTAAAGTTACAAATATCCAATAGGAATAAATTCGATTCCACGCGTTACTTTAGACGCGTACGTGACGTGTTTGTAGAACTAGCACTGCCCCGGCGGCTTTTGTTTAGTTTATGTTGCAACTTCGATTATTTCTCGATTTATGCGTGTTACGCATGAACATGAGTCATATTAATTTTTTCTGTATCATTTAAATTTTATCGAAGAAGGCTCAAGGGATTTATTTAAATTTAAATGACTTCTTGCTAGAGATGTCAAAACAAGCTTAAGTCGGCGAGCCGGTCTGTCCCACAATGTCAAAGGGCGGGTTGGGTTGGGTTAGGATTCTAGGACCAGCGGGAAGAGGGACTAAACAGGCGAGTCTACACGGACTGTGGGATGGCCTGGTGATTATTAAAAAGAAAATACAAAAATGTAAAAATTAAGTCTTCATTTCTTGCTTCTTAAATCGAGATTGCCTTCTCTCCTCTACACGTCTGTCGCCTTCATATCGCCCAAATCGCTCTATGCCCTCTGCCGACTTCTTAGATGCACATTGCCTAAATCGCCCTATGCCATTTCTCCTCTCTTCGCCCGCTCACCACCATCCACCCTTATCGTGCGCCATCGTCCGTCTGCGCCACCCAACAATTGAAGTCTGATGCTCTCATTGTCATATGTCATAGGATCGTCGACAAGCGTTCAAAAAATAGAGGTGGAGGAAATTCCCGTAAGGTACTACGACTTTTTTTTCTCGTTCGATTTGATCATCGGTCCTTGTTTGGGCTGCTTTTAATTTTTCTTTAGATTGAGAATCTATTGGATGATTACGTCAAATTTATATTTTTTTTCAAAAGTATGACTAATTTTCCATTATTATTTACAACAAGGCGCCTACACGTCCATCTGCCCGAACCGGCCGTCACACATGCCACAATCATAACTTGTGGGCTCACCTGCAGAGTAATGGTCACCATAAAGCCACTTTGCATTAAATGTTGTCGTACCAACCTCGAACATCGAGTCAACAAAAGTTACTATAAATAGCAGAATTTACTCTTGTATGAGGATCTTTTTGAGGAGAAACATTAAATCCTCCCATATAATTCAACTCGGTTTAGCTAAAAACCGACTTCATGTAACGAACATTTATCAAACAATAATACCATTCATAAACAAATAATATTTAGTAAATTTACAATAAAAAGTTGGTATATGTGCAAATAATTAGGGTGAATCTGATAGTTCTGCAAATAAATTAACATATACTAGATGTACATGTGCAATATAAAGAATAATGATTGGTATAGGGTGTAAATTTTAGGAAATTTTTATGTATCCTACCCGAAATTGAAAATATTGCAATAATACCATTCATAAACAAATAATTGTATCTCTACCTAATTGACGAAATTTAATTGCATTAAAGCATAAAATTCACTTACGTAAAACTTGGACCTCCATCCCTTTTTTCGCGTGATATCCGATATGTTCCTAAAAAAATCTGCATGCCAATGGAATGAATATCAGAAATAAAACGGTTTTGCGTACAAAATGGAAAGGTGAATTTGAACTATACTCTTCATCACACCACAAAATGATTAACCAAAAATATACTGTAAAAAAACCGTGTGAGTTCGATCAGATCTTCCATCAAGAACGAATCATTTTGAGGTTAATTTTTTTCCATGCAGAATGATTCATCAAAAGCAAAAAATAAAAGAATAACGTGAGAGGACAATAATTTTTCAGGTATATTTATTCATCAGGATTTTTGTGTTCCTGTTATTGTTTTATTTATATATTTTGATTTTTTTTTGGAATTTTAGCATTCACTCAGACGTACAAGATTTGATTTAATATTATTGATGGTATTTGTATCGTGTTTTTTTTAGAGTCGTCAAATTTTCATACATCACGGGGGTTAATGGGTCATGAATGATTACATGAATTACTATCTTTCTGGTGTTTTATTGCAGCTTCAACGTACTATGTGGTATATTGTTTGAGAAGCTCGGGTTGATACCTCAATCATCTGTGATTGAACTAAAATATAAACTGAAATAAAGTTATCTACCAATGTCCATAGACGACGATAGCAGCCTTAGCTTCTATGTCTATTTGATGTCCAAAGAAGCCGACTACACGAAATATCCAGTGTTCGTGGTGGTGATTCTCGGATTATTTTACGTTTATTTTACATTTATGTTTGGTATATAAACCAACAATCATACCTGATTTTGTCCCAAACCGGTCACCACCTCTCTCAATGTTTATTTTACGTTTACTATACGTTTGTGTTTGATATGTGAACCAAATATTTGTACCCATCGGAAGATGTAATGATACAAGTACTATTATAAATTAAAATAAACTAAACATAAACTTAGAAAAACAAATAACAATAAATATATATTAGATGTATATGTGCAATATAAATATCGTTTTAAATAGCTCGTTATGTAGCTCACTATTACTCGCTATATAGATTTTTTCGAAAAAACGCGACGTAGCCTTGCGCTTTTCTCGAAAAACTTACGCGAAATGTTGAAACGGCACGCTTTCTTACGCTATTTTGAGTTTTTTCACGCTATTGTGTGCTACATTGCGCTATATTTCTGCAACTACATTTGAACAATAAAATATTCAAAAACTCGTATTTTTTTAGGGATCAAAGTCATATTTACAAATGACAATTAAAAACTACAAATTGTGATATTGATTTCAAATTAAAAAGTTTGAAAATGCAAAGTCCTAAGTTGAATAGTGCAATATTTTTTGGTCCATTTTTGTTATATCATTTTATTTTTCGATATTTAACATTTAAATAAAGAATAAAGAGTTCATATCTAATGGTTATAATTAAATTGTAGTTAAATAAAGAAATAATAATTAAAATGCATATACTTAAAATTATACTATAACTTACCTCATTATATTTTCGTTGTTTGTTTTTACTTTTTAGTATATTCGATTTATTATTAAATATTTATATTATGATGAAATTTTACATTAAATATTTGTGAGAATTAATCTTTAAATGTTATTTTTGAAGTCATTCAAATACTATGATAATTTTTGTAATCAACCATCTATTTTTATTATATGCAAATATATTTATAATATTTTTATTAAAAAAAAATTTATACCCAAATAACTTACGCAACACGTAATATTATTTACGCTAGGTAATATAAAGATAAAAACGCGAAGCATTATGCTACACGTGACAGCATAATGTTTGTATAGCCATTTTTGGCACACACTGTTGAGGAAAAGCCCAACTAAGCGGCCCAATAAATATAAACTCTCGTTGGAGCAACGTTCATCGACACCATCACCGCACTAAGATTGTACATGTCTTCCAATTTTACCCTTTACATTCACGATAGCGTACCCCTGTCACCATTGACGCTCGCATTAGCTTGGTAGCTTTTCACAGAGTTGTAACAGTGGGGAAAAGGTTTAAGAATCTGTGAAATTCATTTCAACTCCAGTCACACCAGCATGTGCACACGCATTATTGATCTATAGGCCGCCGGAGTTTTGTGGAGAAGACAGAAAATGGGGACGGCCACCGCATTGGCGCCGGGGCTGTCGCGGAAGCTGAAGAAGGTACTGGAAACTCGCACCGACACATCCGATCTGCTTGCCTCGCTCAACACTTTATCCAGTTTCTATTCTGAAAACACCTCTCATGCCCGCCGGAACCTCCGATCCACCATCGAGAAGCGCGGCATCTCCATCAACGAGGAGTTCCTCGCAGCCTCCGCCTCCGCCCAGCAGGTACACGAGCTGATCTTTTTTTTTTTTCTTGGTTTTTTGGCTGGACTTGCACGATCAACGCCTGCGGTTTGCGCATTGTTGCTTGTACCTTGGGTTAGTATGGCCGCAATGAAGCTGTTTTGCGATAAATGTTGCTTGTGCTCGTTAGAGGTTGGTCGTTGTTGAATTGTTTGTAATGGTATATCACCAATATGCATTCTGAGTGGTGGATCATTGAACTAAATCAGTGTGAGAGTAGTTAATTC